CAGAGTGACACAGTGACAACTCCATGCTTGTGCACTTCAATAAGCTAGTTATAAACAAAAGGGTTTCTCCTCTAATGTTCACAGTCTTTGCTACCACACTGGAGAGGACTGAACTAATGAAGATCTCCTCCTGTGAGCTCCATGAGGCATCCGCACTATTCCTTCTGTACTCATTACACTGAGCAGAACATAGACCAGAAAAAGCATTTTTTGCTGGCTATAAATCATGAGTGACACTAAGGTATTGCTATTAGCAGCAGAAAAATGCTTTCCTCCCACAACCTCATTCAGCCCCATATACATACAACACTTCGGCAAAGGGTGCTGGGGTGTCTGGATAGAAAATTAAATAGAGGTTGTGTTGTCTGAAGATAAATTGTTACCTCCCTCGGTGTGTGAGAGTGACTTTGTCTTTTTCTGATTTGTCTTTTAACTTAAAAAACACTGAGACTAGAGATAACGATGAGCTTTAAAAACCTAGTCTTCTTCCCCTCCCAGGCCCTCCTAAACAAATCTCTTCTCTGAAATGAGCTCAAAGAGAAGATAAATGTTCTGGCAGTAATATGCAATATTATTTTTGGCACTTGAAGAATCTCAAGCTAGATAAGGGAAAACTGAAAGGAAGACAAAGCTCTGGTTTTTTCAAATGCAAGAGACCAAATTCTGCTCACCCATATGAACCCAGAATCCTTTCTTTTTTTCTGGATTATTGCAGTAATTCCTGATTTTCACCAGGTTAGCTGATCCTGAGGCCTTATTTAAAACCCAGCACATTCACAGACCCTGGTGAAATCATACAACAACAGAGCCGAAAGACAAAGGCATGCAAAGAAAGCGCCAACTCCACAGCTCCTGCCCAAACAAAGGCTAATTTGGTTTCAGACCATGTTAGCTGTAACAATGATAAGATTAACACCTGATATCAAGGGAAACTCTGAGCTGTCTGTGACCTCCTTCAGCAGAACATCGCTCCATCCCCTCTCGTATTAGCATATGTTAGAGGAACTGCTTCTTTCCTGGACTAGTATGTATTTCCCTGCAGAGCCTTTGTGAAAAGCTCAGAGCAATGTTTCTGCCGATACATTTGTGGGCATATTGAATAAAACATGTGCCATTTGACGTTGTTCGCTTGGGCTGCCATGGGTAATGGGAGAGGGCACGTGTTACTGCAGGGCAGAGAGCCACGAGGGGATGGATCTGGCCTTTGTAGGAGCAAGACGAAGCTCAGGCATACGCAGGAGTGTGTCACGTCTTTGATTCTAACAGAGCCCTGACAAAAGGACCCAGCTCACCCCGTGTTGAGCTAAATGCCGGCTGTATACATTGCACTTAAGACAGTGAAAAGTAAAAAGCCCAAACCTTTGCTCTCCTTACACGCATTAGCTTGTTACAGATGTATGTGCTCTGGAAATCAAATGGGAAGGGATTTTTAGAGCAAACTAAGTGGTTTAGAGGCAAAATTTCTAGTGCTCGAAGAACCTCCTGTGTCCAAAGCACAGCATTTGGAATTTCAATGTGCTTTGTCAAGCTTGGAATTTTGATAAGAGACTCTGGGACTCTTGAGAGCTCTTAGAGCAGCCTGTAATAGGGAACAACAGTTATTGAAGCTGCTGGTTTTAAATGATGATGTTGCCACATCTCAGCTGTTCCTGTATTTGTCTGGCATGTGAGTAATGGTTGCACGGGATGGTTAGAGGCATCCCCACCTGTGGTGTCTATTCAAAGTTAATCATCTGCTAGGGGTCGCTTGGCAATTAAGAACTGTTCAGTGGTACTTTTTCTAATACAAGATTTGTATGATGTGACCAGAAAGAGTGTCTTCACATGAGAAACAGGGTGTTTCTCAGGGAATTCAGAACCTCTGTCCTAAAAGCTGTGAAATATCCTTAGGTCAGTTCACTGAAGCAGCGTTTTGAGAAGTATGTCAGCAAGAATCAGGAAAAGCCCTAGAGGAAATTTGTTTGGTCACCAGGAACACCACTGTCTTCCAGACAAGCTTTGATGAAACACTTGTTCATTTTCATTTTTGTCACTGTGTTTCTAACTCTGTAATGAAATCCCTTATCCCTATCAGCTGTTGTGCCACTGACATGAGCCATTCCATCCCACGTCAGTGACACCAGGGCCAGCTCTGCAGAGAGGAGCCCAGCTTGGCGGACGTTCACTGATGCACCTTTGGCAAGGAGCAGGCAGTGGGAAGATGTCTTTGACTCCAAGAATATCTACTAGAGGATGTGCCCTTGACACAAGTAGAGCAGGGTCATACCGTGTCCTGAGCTCTAAATAGTTCAAAAACTTAAAATGCTTCTGGTCTTTGGTTTCATGGAAATGATCATGGCAGTAAAGCCATCTTTAGCGGACTGTTAATATTTGGGGAACTTTCATCTGCAGCAGATTTATGTTTCATGGAAACAAATTCATTCCTGTCTTCTATGCAGACATGACAGTCCATAACATACTATTTATTTGCCCAAATCAACCTTTGGTAAGCAGCTTTGCTTCCTTGCTTTCCACCTTCTCTTGTTCTGTTTGGCAGTGGACACTAGTGCCACTTGCCCTCAATAGAGGCATCGTGGTTTTCCACAGGGACATGTATACACAACACAACCGAGAGCTGATTTCCCTGCCAGCAGTGGATATGGAAGGTTGTAACTTTTTCCAATGGCAAGGAAAAAGCAGCAAGCTTGCAGGCAGAAATCCATCAGTAGAGCTACACAAGTGTATTAAATAAAGCAAACAGAACTTTGGTGTTACACTTCAAGTAAATAGTTTCTCCTTCTCAGTTTGCTCCAGCATAAAAATCCCTCTGCCCTATAAATGCCATTGCCAGTATTCATTGGTGAAGATCTGGCATCTATTTATTTATTTATCCATATTTAGTTTAAAAGTCTGGACTCAAAATTAAACAGTCATTCATAATGTCATTATCTGCCTTGCTCCGCAGTCAGATACTGTGTGTGGTGTCATAGGACAAAACCTTTGGCAAGGCCCCTAGAAGAGCAATTTAGCTCCTCATCCATCTCAGCTGGCAGCGTGATTGGCTTCCAAGCTTGCATTGCTGAATGTGTTATTTTACTCTGACATATATTATTGAGTGTTAAATCACTTTCTGAAGTGTTTATTGGTAATAGTTGAATTCTTTCCACTCATTTAAGCTGCTTTTGAAACATAAACATTTCCTTGTATCTTGGAGTTTGATGGAAGCACGGGGAGAGTTCCTTGGGAGGATGGATTGTAGAAATGACCGGTTCATTAGGTAGGGACAGAATTTACCAGTGCTGTGGAGGAGAATATCCTCCTCCTTCCATCAGGATGAAACAGCAAACTCCCATCATCCCACCATGGCACTTCACATGGGGAAGGTTTACTTGGGTCTTGGTTCTCCCATCCTGTCTTGGCCTGACAGGAGGCAGGTGACCCTCTTACTAGAACATCAATGACTTCCCAACAGGATCGTCATAGATCCTGAAGCTCCCTGAAAAGAAAAATGCACTGTGATCTGCAGGATCAGGTGCTGGGGAGGTAATAACCCCCCCAAGTGTGGAGTGTGGTCCTTGGCCCCTGCCTGGCAGTGATGTCTCTCGGAAAGGAACCTGAGGCCACTTTCTTGTACCTATTTAGGAAAATGAAGCAGAGCATCAGAGAACAGAAATAAATAGATTAAAATCTAGTGTGACAGTGAGAAGCTGAGCTGGAGAACAAGGGCCAGAGGCAGGTCAAACTGGGGAGGAGGCAGGAGAGACAGATTTTCAAATAAGTCCTTTGACAATTCATCTGTTGAGGACTCCAGATGTGACAGGCCAGCAGTACTCAGTATGGCAAGTCCTCTTACCTCTTGTCCTTGTTCCAGTGAAGACCTACAAATCAAAGTTCTTCTTTTCTTTTTATCTCTAATGAGGAGGTCTGTTGAGTCTCTTTCCTGCATCTGGAAGTTACTTTCCAATCTGATGAACACTGACTTTTAGAGACGACACCAATGACGAGCTGCTGAGATCACAGTAGCAATCAAGCCTCCTTTGATGGCAGAGCTAAAAATATGCTCCCCAGCTGACACAGCCTTAGGGAGGAGAACGTATAGTTTGGTTTGAAAGAATACATCTTCCTTTGTCTCCATGTCTTCTTCTGCTAGAGGACACCACATCTGTGACAACCGTGCAAGCAGGTTACATCTGTCTTCTGAACTGAAGCACCCATGTACAGACCCATAATACCTCCAGCCCCAGAAAGAGTAAAGCTTTAAAACCCTCTGAGTGCCTTGAAGATTGGTGTGATTGGCAGTTTTGCCTCTCTGGTCGTGCTGGCAGCCATCCAGTTATTGCATGGCAGGAGCCACATCTTTGGGTCCAGAGGGGATCCTCTTTGCCAGTCCACCAGGTTCAGTTTCAGTCCTCTTGATCAGCTGCCCCAGCTCTTTCCTGTCTGCTTCTCTGCCTGCTCTCCTCCCTGCTAAATTCAGGGCACCGGTTCACAAACTCCCTGGCTAATGAGGTGTCCCCAAAGCCTTGCTTTGGCACTTGTAAAGGAAACTGTGGTAAGTAGTGTCACTACCACCTCCTGGGCTTTCTGAGGACCAGAGCTCATCCTATGGGTTGCAAATGCAGATCCATGCAAACGCAATGCAAGAGATCGTGGATTGCCCAGCTTCAACCTGCACCAGCCCGCTCCCTTCCCAGGCCTGCAGAGTGATGACGCTAACCAGCCAGTGTTTGCAGAAGAGTGTAGGTTTCCCTCCCCTTGGAGGCATTAGCTAAAGATGGATCATTAAGGCTTTTGGGTAGGAGACGTACAGATGAACAAGTATACACAATAAAGGTTCTGCATTTGTAATGTGTAATATGTCAGAGGGGAAAAGGTTGAGCAACCCACTTTGGCAAATGGAAATAGCAGAAAGGGAGTATTTTGCTGGCTAAATGAAAGCCTCCTCTCTGTGTGATTTTTTTGTGCTTCTGCATGTATAATTTGAACACAGAGAAAGGAAAAAATAATTTGTTTGGTCAGACAGAAATACACCAGATTTATTGTTTTGAGAGATACAGGGGAGTATTTCTACGTGGCTGTGGTAGCGATAATGTTTTGGCAATACAATGTCCTGTCAAAAAAAGGCATTCACCCAAGAACGTCTCTGGGCTCAGTCAGCCTCAGTCCTGGAGGTGGATGTCCCATCCCTAAACCTCTGTGGGCAGCGGTCCGCTGCCAGGAGTCTGTTTGATGCTACCGTTTAGGGTGTTGGCCCTGAAGATGTACGACCTCCCTCTGACTGAGCCTTCGGTGTGGATGCTTTCTGGCTTGTTCTGGCAACGGAAGAACATAAGGAAGCCATTCCGGTAGTTCTTGTTCATCCATCCGTAGAGCAGGGGGTTGACAAATGTAGAGCACATGGCCCCGACATGGAAGACGGTGTACAGTAGTTTGTACTCATGGAAGATAAGAACCAGATCAAGATCAATGGCAAGCTGGAATATGTGGAAGGGGAGCCAACAGACTGCAAACACCACAACTACTATCACTAGCATTTTGGTTGTCTTCCTCCTCCGGCACTGGTTTTCATTCCTAGAAGTGGGACTGACATGGTTTTTCAGCTTGAACCAGATTCTGGTATAGGCATAACAAATAATTGCAAGAGGAAAAACATACTGCAGGAGGAGCATGGACAGGCTGTAGATAGTAGCATCTCTGTTATTACCAGAAGGCCATTTTTCTGAGCAGACAGCCATTTTGAGGTTGATGGATGGGATTTCCTCATACCGGTACTCTCTGAAGATGGCCAGAGGACCTGCTAGGACAGCTGCTGCTAGCCACATGACAGCTATGATGGTGAAACTGAGCCTCTTGGAAATCCTGCTGTCCAGGTGGAAAACAATACACCGGTACCTATCCAGGGCAATCACAGTTAGGGTGAGAGTGGACACATGGACACTCAGAGCTTGAGCATAAGGGACCAGATGACAAAGAACAGCTCCAAACTTCCACTCGTCCAGCAGCGTGTACACTAGGGTGAAAGGCAGACAGAGCGTGTCTACCATCAGATCTGCCAGGGCCAGGTTAGCTATGAAGAAGTTGGTGACGGTCCTCATGGTCTTGTACTTCACTATGATGTAGATGACCAAGGAGTTGCCAATGAACCCCAACAGAATGATGAGGGAGTAGGCGGCAATTAGAACGACCTGGACCCCCAGGATCTTGGTGCTGTCCATCATAACACTGCGGGACCCAGAGAGATCCTGGCTAGGAGTGACAAAGTCCTTGGCATGCCAGCCCTGCGGCAGCTTCTCGTCTAATGCTGTCTTCTCCCCGGTGAGGGTGCTGTTGGCTCCCTCCAATGGTCCCATGCCTGGCCTGAGACTTTCTGTCAGGAGGAGAAGGAGGTCTGAAACACAGACACAGCAGAAGTGAGAGCACAGGAGACAGCAGAGCATCTGAGACTCAAAGAGCATGTCCCACATGGCACTTCAGGCTAAACAGCAGCAGCAGTGGCGTCCTCCTTCCTTCTCCCTTTACCCCCATCCTTCCTCACACTGAATGGCCTTTCACTTCTCTTACACCTCCTGTGATCAGTTGAATGCCAATTCCCCAAGGAAAGGTCAACTTTTCACACAAGTTTCTGAGATTCTGGTTTTTTGAACTGAACAAGGAAAAAGCTCCTCAACCATCCAGGGCCAGACTGGCAGGACCTGAAAAGGCCTCCTGCTTACAGAGCCCCTTTTCACATTGCCTCTCCTGCCTCTTCAGGCTTTGCAAAACAGGGAAGTCGCTTCAAACAAGGCAAAAATTTTGGACCTCTTAGGGGTGACTGAAGAAATCGATGATGGTATCAGTCAGGAAAGGAGAAAAACAACAGGACACTCTCAAATTCAAGCTGCTTTTCTCCACCTCCCCATAACAATTTATTTCCAGATTGTGCAGCCAGGGATTTTTTCAGTTTCTTATTTCTGACCTCTCCGGGTGACAATATCTGTCACCCTGTCTCTGCATGAGTCTCCACCACTGCTCCTGCTAGTGATGCCACCACCCAACTCAACCCAGTGTGACCAGTACCCCCTGCTCCGACCCCTGGTAATGTGGTTAGCATAACTAATGCCATTTTATGGGGCAAGGAGCCATTCTCTGTGACCAAGCGGGTCATGTAGTCATTCCCTTTCCCTCAGTATCAGGCCCTGAAGGTCCTGCAAACCAAGGAGACAAACCAAACAGTTTTATTATTCCCCTCCCTGCCAGCCTGAAGGTTCCTGGGTGCCAGGCCGAGTACTCCCTTCCTTGCTGGCCTTGAAGGTCTCAGGCACTGGCCAGCGCAGTGTTGTTGATGACCCCGTCACAGAACAGGGAAGTGGAATAGCACACTGTCTGTAAAAACAAACAGTTCCAAGTCCTAAGTGGGGAACTGCAGGACAGTGAGACCCATGACCTCCCCATGACCAGGGACACCCCAACGGTCCTCTGCTTCCTCCAAGGATGGAGCGAGTGACTCATCTTCTTTTATATGATTTTTGAGACTGGATTATGATTGTTACATTGATACAGCAAACCACGTATTAAGATTTGACCCAATCTACAGAGGGTCCAGGTGATTAGAAAACCTGGGCTGCATCTAAAGCAGCATGACCAGCAGGTCGAGGGAGGGGAATCTCCCCCTCTACTCCCCTCTTGTGAGACCCCACTTGGAGTACTGCATCCAGCTCTGGGGTCCCCAACATAAGAAGGACATGGAGCTGTTGGAGCAAGTCCAGAGGAGGCCATGAAGATGATCAGAGCACCTCTCCTATGAAGACAGGCTGAGAGAGTTGGGGTTGTTCAGCCTGGAGAAGTGAAGGCTCCAGGGAGACCTTACAGCAGCCTTCCAGTACCTAAAGAGGCCTACAAGAAAGCTGGAGAGGGACTGTTTACAAAGGCATGGAGTGACAGGACAAGGGGGAATGGCCTTAAGCTGAAGGAGGGGAGATTTAGATGAGATATTAGGAAGAAATTCTTCCCTATGAGGGTGATGAGGCCCTGGCACAGACTGCCCAGAGCAGCTGTGGATGCCCCATCCCTGGAAGTGTTCCAGGCCAGGTTGGATGGGGCTTTGGGCAACCTGGGCTAGTGGAGGGTGTCCCTGCCCACGGCAGGGGGGTTGGAACTAGATGGGCTTTAAGGTCCCTTCCAACCCAAACCATTCTGTGATTCTATGAAATTGTAGGTTAAGTTGTATTATAAGTTCTGTATTACTTAGGTGATTAGAAATCATAAGTTGTATTATAAATTCTGCATTATGCTACTTGTAGATCAATGTACTACATTGATTCTGCTTGTAGAAATCCTGTGCTGTTCCAATCAGAAATTCCGTGCTGTACTAATCATAACATCCTGTTAAGGAAATAAAGCTTCATTTGTAACCACGATTTAGTGCTGTGGTCATTCTGCCAAGGATCCCTAAAAGAACCTGTCTGTGTCGGTGACACCCAGGCATCTGCCGGCTGTGCAGAGGAGGGAGCTCCTGCAGGGATGTGCATGTGCGGGGGGCAAAGAGCTGAAGCTGTGAACAAGCCTCCCGCAGAGCTGTTGCTGAGCGTCCAGGCACAAAGAGGCCCGAGAGCCAAAGCCCCGGCGTCAGCGAGCCCCCTGCCACATGGTGCTCAAACGTCTGCGTGAACATGGCTTGAGGAGCAGGGAGCCTGACTGATGAGCCAGAACTGACTCAGTCTGGAACCCGCGGCTGGCGTTTGGTGCCGTTGTAACAGCGGAGTGTTGTCACGGCAGGGTTTTCATTCAGCCCAAACACAGCAGGAGAAAAGCCAGCTCTCTTACTGGCTCCTTCTCAGCCTCCGTGGCTCAGCATTGCTGCTGGGGTATGCGGAGAGGGGTAGATGTGGCCCCTCATGTACCCTCTCTCCCCAGCATTGTGTGTGTGGCCTCCATTGCCACCGCACACTTGATTGAAAGCGAGCAAAAGTCATCACTCTGCCCAAACAGGGTGATCTGCAGAGCATCGTGTTTTTTCTGACTTGCAAAGAGAGGAGATAATGCCCTGCCACTGAGGGAGGGAGGCACAGGGGTTAAACAAAGCTGGGAATTAGAGACAGCTGCTGGGCACCTTCTCAACCTCCCTGAGCAGGGAATTGCTCTGGTTTTGTTCTGGGTGAGACGGGAGCACTGCTAACTGGGTGCTGGTGGGCTTCCCACAGGTCCGTGCCCTGCAGGATGAATATTTAAGGGCAGCCTGTCCTTGGGAAGGGAGAATGCTTTCTGGGCAGAGCACCTGTATTTCAGTTAGTTCCTTAAACAAATAGCATAAAATAATGGCAGTAAGATGGTAAAGGTGGCAGCAATTACATCACAATGAATAATAAATGGCTGTTTGTTCTTTCATCGCTCCGCAGAGCAAGGGTTGTGATTCCCCCTTGGGAGCTGCTCTCTGGAGTCTGCCCGGCCGGCTGCAAACCCGGGTCCCTGCGGAGCTGCCTGCGGTGCGCCGTCCCTGCCTGCACACTTGCTTTCTCCTGCCCTTGCCATGTCTGTTGGCTTGCCTAACTTATCTAACTCTGCTGGCTGATTCATGCCAATGATTCCTGTAAATGAAGTTGTTGGGCTCAGATACTGTGATAATGGAGACCATATAGCTACTGCTAAGAAGGTGGGAAGGTAGCTTTAAGCAGCAGGAGGGAAAAGTGGGTGGATTTGCTGGGATGAGGGTTTGCTTAAGGGTGATCTCAGACCTCCATGACAGAACTGCACCCAGCTGACACAGTGGGAAACAGAGCAGGGGAACGGGCAGGGCCCCGGGAAGGTGGCACAGCCACAGCTTCCTCGACAGAGCCCGACCCAGATGCGGCAGCAGCCCAGCCCAGAGCCTCCCGTCTGACACCCGTGCTGCAGCTGGCCCCAGAGCAAATCTTCCTGCCAGAAGAGCAGGGTCCATGAAGAAAACAGAGCAAGGGCTGGGCACGCCTTCAGTGGCTGTGCTTTCCCTGCTTGGTCTCCGTCTGGGTTTTTATACCATTACTTTATCACTATCACTTGTTATCCTCTTTTCTGTGGGTTGCCTGTCCCATTTATCTTCGGTACCCAAGTCTTGGCATGACACCAGTGGACACTCCCTTCCCTTTTTCCCCGTCTCACCCACCAACTGGCTGCCAGTTCCCGTGTTCACATCTCAGGCTATTTCCTTTCGCTGGAGACTGGCAGCTACCCACCATCTGAGAGGAGCCAGGAACATCATGATTATTGGAGCTGTTTCGCTTCCTAACAAAATGGCCTTAATGGAGTTATTATTTGATTTGGTTTGCTTTGTTTTTTTCCAAAGGGGAACTATTAAAAATCAATTAAGGCATTTTAATTAAGAGACAAAATGGTCATAATAAATGTTGCCACTCCAGGGGCTGCCTGGAGGTTGCGGGGATGCTGCTAGGAGTGGACCAAGGTCTATTCCAGCAAGTAATGTAAGTGCTGGCATATGTGTAGGCGCTGCCAGGCACACGCTCCTGTGCCCAGCGAGCCTGCCAGGCTAGATGGAAAAATCCTTGGAGCTGAGAGCCGACTGCTTTTGGGAGAATGAAACAGCAGGGCAGACCAGGAGGAGGCAGAAATACTACCCTAAGCCCTTTCCTCTGTGCTGGGCTGCCATGACGGGATGCAGAAACAGGGCATTGCCTGGATCCTGCTCTCAGCCTCTCCTCCAGCTGAGGTTCAGCCTGAGGCAGGGCTGGGACCCAGGGATGGCTCCTGAAGGATGCAGAGAGCTGTGCATTGTGCCCTGTGCCTGCAGGCTTCAGCCTTTGGGAAGGGGGTAGAGGAGAGGAAAGCACAGAGGAGCTGCGAAACCTCAGCCCTTTGCTGAGCACACAGCTGTGGGTGACTGCGAGGCACAGTGACCACCGTGACAACTCCAGAATCCATTCCTACAGAGGGCCTGGACTAGATCCTCTGGGACTCAGATGCATCTCTGCTTCCTGGGGACACCCCGGCTCCCCCTGCGTCCCTGCTGCAGCCCCAGGCACGCAGCCAGCCTGGTCCAAATCTGTCAGGGCACATCCAGGCCTGGAAGAGCCATCTGCAAAGCCTGGCAGGGTTCAGAAAGCAGGGCTGGAGGGGTGGGCAGGGAGCTGGAGAAAACAGAGCTTGTTAATTAAAATTCCGGTGTTTGTCCTAAGCAGGGAGATGGGGGTCACTGCAGACAGGAGGCACGCAGCATGGGGACAAGGGATGCAGAAAAGAGGGAGGTGACACACATCACTTAGACCATGCCCAGGAATTACAGTCCTATCATGGTTATCATTGACTTGAAAGGAGGGAGTGGAGGGACTTGGGTCAGCCTCTGCTCTCTGCTCCAAATCTGGCTAACCACAGCCACAGTCTC